CCTGCAGGGGAGGGTCTCAAAGAGGCCCTGCCGCCGGGAACGCAAGGCCACCTGAGAGCCGCCTTCCCCGCGCCGCCGCAGCCCACCCGGGGCCTTCTGCTCCCGCCTCCCAGCTGGTTGCTAAGACGCCAGCGCGTTGCCAAGGGCGGGGCCAGAGACCGTAGAAGCGCCGGCTCCTACGGAAGCCCGGGGATCCAAACTACCTCAAACCCTAAGCTGCACCTCCACGCTCAGAATGGCTGGGTTGCTGTGCGCTGGACCTTGGCACGGAGCTGTGCAGTTTTCTGGGCGCCGTGCGTCTCAGATTTGGTCATGTGCGCAGGGCCTTCTGAAAGCGGGGGAGAGTGGGTGGAGGGATGAGGCGTGGATGTGGGATGTGTAAGAGGTAGATGATGGACGGATAGTGTTGGAAGGGGAGCAGTTTATCTCACCCCAGAGAAGTGACCCGTGTCACCTACATTTCCAGCCTACGACCTCTTCTGTACTTGAGTGGTCCTACAAGGCAGTTCAATAAGGCGTTTGCCACAACGTGAGGACACTTTTTAGTCAACTCATTGAATCTAGAACAAGTTAATTTCACTCTTCTTACCAGTTAAATAGAGAGCTGTGAGCAGACAGTTTTGTAAAGTGGTGGTTGGCACATAAGCGCTCAGTAAATGATCAAGATTACCGTTGTCCTTACTATTACTGTGTTATCTATTCACTGTATCCTGAGTAATAGTCTAAGAAGGGGAAAGACTTTTAAGGAAAAGCTTCTCATGATAACCATCATTATAACCTAACCACTCCGAACACCTTGGCTGTGAAAATTTAAGAATCCCTTAAACCTTTTAATCCTTTTTTTAACTTACAGAAATTCTTCAAGATTTAAACATGTTTTTATATCTTCCATAAAATTCACGGGCTAAAAAAATTACACAGAATCTCCATAAAAATAAAATTCATTGCACTTCTCAGGGTTTCTCTTCTCATTTATAGAATAAGCAAGTTGATCGGTGATTTCTAAGGCGCATTAACCAGTTCAAACACTGAATAACATTTTTGGCTCCACAAATAAAGAGAACTGGGAAAACCAGATTGGGCCTGGCAGTACTTAATGTAAATCAGAGCCAACCCCCAAGCTTCTTTGAAAGAGTCCTGAGTATTTCCAGTCTCTATTTTCTCACTTCAACGCATCCTTCTACTTTCCTCAGCCCAGTTCTCTGAAACTGCTCTGACTGAGGTCGGAGTCTGTAGACACTGTACTTGTCTGCAGTATTTTACACTGTTGACCACTCTCTCCCTGCTTGAAACTCCTTTGCCTGGGCTTCAGCATTCTTTTTTTCTTTTATCTTTACAGTTACCTCTTGGTACTTTTGGAGCAGCTCTCAGACCTTACGCCTAGAATTGGGCTCAGCAGGTCTAAGTTTGCTATCACCCACGGAGAGTGCAACGGGTTTGTCAAGTGTATTATTAACATGACCTTAACTGAGTTGCACATTCCGCATACACAATATCAAAAGCAGACTGAAACCACTCGGATAAACACAATGGATTACCTGAGACCAAGATGGTGGTGGAGAACTGACCTCTGGATGCAGCTTATCCTGTGTGCTCATTCTGGTGGAAAGATGAATAGGGGGATTGCAAAGGAAAATTTCCCACAGAAAGCGGAGCTTTCCTAGGAGATAATCAACTACTGCTGTGTTTCAGCACAATAGGCTGAAGTTGACACTGTTCTAGAAACCTGCATGACCCTGGCAAATCAGACTCTCCTCACTGGACTTAACCGAAGACACATTCCTGGTAAATGAACAGGGGATTTTATTTTATTTTAACTAATTGTGTGCAGACCTATATATTCACTAGAGGCCCGGTGCATGAAATTCGTGTGAGGGGCTCAGCCCTCGTAGCCCCACCCCCTGGCCCCTGCTCGTTCTGGAAGGTCATCCTGCCATTCTGTCTAATTAGCATATTAGCTTTTTTTATATAGGATTTTGTCCTAGATCCAGAAAACCAGTTTCCAATGTTTAGTTAGCATAACTCCTATGAACTCCCCCTTTCTAGCACTTAAAAACCCTTAACTTTTTCCTGTTTACATTAGGTAGTGGATTTAACTTTAATCATTATTCACAGATCCCTCTTAATATAGATTTTTGAAGTCTGTAAGTTAAGAGTACAGGACACTTTTTTTTTTAAATGACACTAAAACACAAAGACATAAAGGTAAAATGACCATTGAAATGGTAACTATTTCAGCAAAAAAAATTTAAACTAACAGTAGAGAAACATATGAGAAATGACTTATACATAGAGAATAAAAATGTTTCAATCTGATAACAATTCTGCAGATTTAACATCTGTTAAGTTAAAAATTGCAATTTCTTTAAAAAAGCAGCTGTAAATTTAAAGATTAATTAGAAATTTTAATATGTGGACTTACAAATTTTAACTTTTAAAGTAACAGTTAAATGTTTTTAACATAAAAAACTAATATTAAGAAATATCGTTCTTCTGATTTTTCCTGATATTTCTTTGCACGTTGTCTAATGAGCAATGTCTAGTAAAATTGTAATTATTCATTAGCATGAGTTAGGAACATTTCTAATAAGTATTTTAGATTACATATGAATTTGGTAGTCTCTAAACTAATGCCAGATATTCTATATGTTCAGCAAATATTTCTTTCTGAGTCAAAGTAATTTATTTTAAACAATTTTTATAGCACATATAGAGTATAGTGTCAGTTTAGCGATGGGGAATTATGTAACCAGAAATACATATAAAGCTTGAATGTAATCTGCTTTAGTGTTTTAAAAATTTGTTCAGATTGATTGTTACAGAAACAAAGCATGAAAAAGAAGCAAAACTAATTACCTCTTTCCAACAGAATCATTAATGCCAATTTGGGAGTAATAAGTGTATGGAGCAGAAAACAAACGTAAAAAAAAAAAAACAACCACTCCTGAAATCAACCATTCTAATAAAAAGTGTAGTGATAATCTAAATTGTGAATGATTTTTAAATGTTTAGTGAATAAGCTAAATAAATGTTAAAACATGAAATGAGTTTATAGAGTGGCTTTCACCTGATCAAAGCTTCAGTTCCATGATATAGAAATATTTCTGTGAAATGAAAATGTCCTCAAGCTTTTAGAACTAAAAACTACTTACTGTGTTTACCTGGTGGGAGGTTATAGTGAAGTACCTCCAGGACATAACCGTCTTTATTGTGGAGCAGGATTAATCAGACAAGTTTTATTCCTATGACATTAATTATTCAAGTTCCATACCATGACTTGTTCTGATTCCCTGGACTCTGTATTAGTTTGCTAGGGCTGCCGGAACAAATGCCACAAACTGCCTGGCTTACGCAACAGGTATTTTATTTCCTCACAGCCTGGAGGCTAGTAGTTGAAGTTCAAGGTGTCCAAGATTGGTTTCCTTCTGAAGCCTCTCTCCTTGCTTGCAGATGGCCCCATTTTGACTTTGTCATCACATGGTCTTCCCTCCATCTTAAACTGCTCTTCGTATAAGGATGCCAGTTATATTGGATTAGGGCACACTCACATGACCTCATTTTATCTTAATTACCTCTATAAAGGCCCTTTCTCCAAGTAC